AAAAACACAAATAAATATAAATTCACGTGAAGTTGGAATAGTGCTCTGGAAAGATCATTATAGAACGGAGGGAGTAGTACTTTATCTATTTATATTTTCTCACTTTAATGACGCAGAAATGACACAATGAGTCAATGCATCTACTTTTGTTGAAATTCAAATCTGAGTGAGCTTCCTACCAAAAGAAAGTCATTCAGTCAAAATTATAATTCTAATTAAAGAGGATATTCGGAGATTCATAAAGAGCCCTAAAATTAAGAAAAATGCTAGGGGTACATTAAAGATGTACTCCATTTGTCCCCCACCCTCTCCATTACCATAAAAATGGGGAAGAAATTAAAACAAAATTAAATAAATAAAAATGGGATTAAAATGAGTGGTAGAGAAAGGAGTGAAGGACAAATAGGGTACACCTTAGCATGACTCTAAAATTAAATATAATCAAGGATGTTTGGTAAAGTATCTATCAACCACTTTTAGGGATAGGTTTAGTGGTTTGACATAATCAAACAACTGTTACTAGTGTTTGTGAACTGATTTTTTTTCATGTGGCTTTTTTATGCCAAGTTGTCAACAAGAATATCCCCAATTGTATCGAAAATATTTTTTTTAATAAGGAAAATGCTGCTAGCATGAGTGGTTGGGAGAGTGTGCAAAATGGTTAACCGTACAGGGTCCTAAAATTTTAGGGCTCCTTATTTTTAAGTTTGTTGATAATTTTAAAACAAAAGTATTCTAAAAAAATAAAATAGGAACCAAAATATAAATTTTAGACCGGCCAATTTTATTTTTTCATTTTTCGGGGTCGGCCCGGGCTGCTAGCATGTGCCCTAAAGTACGTGAAGGTGGATTTGATAAATCCGAATTGTATCGAAATAATATTAAAGATGTATTAAATCGAGATAATATTAAGATAGATGAAACTATGTTGATGAGGTTATACACAACATGATAAAATCTTCTTCAAATTGTCATGACAAAATTTTTAATTTGTGAATCTAATCTGTATTATTTGGGGAAAATTGTTTTAAATATTACATTGAAAAAATACATAAATTTACATATATAAAAACTGTATCAACGTTCTACAAAATAAATTATGCTACATTTATTTTAATTTACTAAATGATCAATGAAAACACAAATGTCAAACGCAAACAAAAAGTACCAGAAATGTATAATAGTAAGCATAAGGATAATTTTGGAATGGAGGGACTAAGTAATAAGATTGTATTTTTCTCTTCAACTTATTGTTATAACTTACGAAATATCACAAACATATACCGAGTACAAATTTAGTTGGAATAGCAAAAATATTATCACATTAAATTAAAGTTTAATAATTTCATATCAAAGTTTATCAGGACAAGTTGAGCAGAAGAGGCCCTTAGTACGAGCATATTCTTTTTAACTTCTTTTTACTTCTTACGAAGTATTACTTATTTTTATAGATAACAAATTATATTTGATGAGATCAGAATTAATTTAAATTTATTTAAATCAAATCCAACATAATAAAGCCATGCGGTATGGGGGTGGGATGGAGCCGTGATGGGTGAGGTGGCTGCCACATCAGCCTATGATGGGAAGGGAACACAACCCCTCCTTGTGGTCGTGATGTAGGTGATGGCCATCATGCGCATTGCACAGGCAGCACAGCCCTCTCTTTCCCAACTAGCCATTGTAATGACTCGTATTCTTTTTTTCCCTATTGTTTAAACTTATATTCGTATTTCAACTTCACACTGTCAATGTATTATTTCTACTATTTTTAAATTTTATACATCTAAAATATCTTCTCAAAAGTGAACGCCCTTCAATTTCGATGAAGTTGAAAGTCTTTTCATAGATTCAGTGACAATGCATGCGATCAGATTCTTATCGCATTATATCGCATTATATCAATATAATGTTAATATTAATGAAATATTCCTTTAATGTTTTTGTATTAACCATTTTTAATGAAATGAATAAAAAATATTTCCTCGGTCCCAATTTAATTCGCATGTTTCGGTTTACGATGTTTGACTGAAGTTATTTTCAAATCATTTTATATGAAAAACGATATAAAATTTAAAAATAAAATTTATACATATTTAAAAACTATACCAAATTATAACAAAAGATTTATATAACCAATAGTGACATTACTATATTATTTTGTCAAATAACTAACAAAAATATAGAAAGAAACTAAGAAAGAGACTAAAGTTTGACTCCACAAATAATAAATAATCAATTTAATTTGAGACATAGGAAATATAAAAGAAAAAAAAGGAGATGAGTGACTGAGTGTGTTATGAACGCAAGCGATTCAGATTTCAGATTCTTAATATTTTTATTTTAAACATATTTTCTATTTACACTCTACAATTTATCGAGATACATCAAGCCCGTCATAACATATTATCTTGTAAAAGAAGTTTTAGTTTCTTTTTATTTTGAGTGGAAATCACTTCAACGTGGGACGCATGCAACTGCCCCTGCCCACACTCAACGGTCCAGATTATAAGGCAACACATCCACTTCCGTGCACCTGCACGCACTCTATAATCGCTCTAAAAGCAGCAGAAAAACATTTTAAAAGTTTAATACACACGATAATCCTGTTTAAATATCCAACTTGCGCTATTTTATACGGAGTAAAATAATAATCTTTGTCTTCTTAAAGATAAGGATCTCTCTCTCTCTCTCTCTGTAATTTCTATCCAATGACACATTTATCTCTACAGTATCTTGTATCTATAGGTTATATGTATACCCTCTGTATGTATCGTCTTGCTCGTGCTTAACAGTAGCGAGACCATGTCGATTGCGCTGAAGGGAAACAGTTCGGTCGATCTAGGGATCGAACGGTCGGGATTCGTGCACGGGATGAAGTGCATCCCGATCTATGAGTCGCCGGAGTTTCCGGTCGGAGACGGTGGATTTGCAGCGAAGGAGGCGGATTCGGACGAGCAGACCTCGTCGTGCACTTCGTCTATTGGCAGGAACAGTGATGATCTGCAGGTCGGGAGGTCCCTGGATGCGGCGGACGGAGATGGAGAGGAAGTGCAGAGCTCGTTCAAAGGCGGAGTTCTGGACAATCTGGAGGCTCTGGAGGAGGTTTTGCCGATTAAGTATGTGGATTTGATTCGTTTCTCGTTTCTCACCGGCGCTTATATGAACTTTGTGTTTTCTGAGTGTGAATATATTATGCAGCCCTGATTTGATGCGGTGTTTTGGTACTTGGAGTATTAGTGTTAGTGTTGTTGAAATCAGATCTTGTGCAGAAATTGGATAATTCGCTCTTCTTCTTCTTCTTCTTCTTGCTGCGAGTTTGATCTTACATATTAGATTTCTTGTATGAAAACTTAGCGAACTGTTTGGAGTAGGCATTCTATACTTTTCCATGAAAATGCTAATAGAGCCTTAATTAAGGTGAACATGTATATTTTGGTGACAAGTGAGTGGGGTGAAAGGGATAAAAGGAAATTTAGTCAACCTATTTTGAACCTTAAATGTATCAATCTTCTACTGGTGTCTTTTTCTGATTATCACCTTTTCCAATCATTTTTTTGTCTCCTGTAGATATTGATCGATCTGGACTGTTCTTGTGGGTTTGGCAGAGCTGGATCGATCGGGTGCATCTAAAGCTATGAGCTATAGAATCTTACCTTAAGTTTGAAGCTTAAATGGACTGCAATGAACATCTCAAAGTGTCTCTGCTTCATATTTTGTCTATGATTCCAATAGATGTGACCCTTTGTTCCAATTATTTGTTATATGATTACTTTTCTATATAATTATCATGTTCTAATTATATTTTATCTAAGTTTGCTTTTATTAGGTTATACATTATATTTTGAGAAACATCAAATTTCTGTTTGCTTCATTTCATCAGGTGTTATTTTTCTTTCTTTCAGGAGAGGAATATCAAACTTCTATGCTGGCAAATCTAAATCTTTTACAAGTTTATCACATGCAGCTTCTTCTTCCTCCCTCAATGACATTGTCAAGCCAGAGAATGCATACACAAGAAAGCGCAAAAACTTGCTTGCTCATAACAACTTCTTTAGTAAGAATCATAATCAAAACAGTGGTGGTGGCCTATACAAGAGACCTACCAACTCTAGAAGCTCTTTGGCTCTAGCTGCAACTCAGGAACGTTTTCCTCTTCCTCCCCAAGCACGGAGAAGTGGCGTTGAGTCCTCCTCCTCACCTACTCCTAAACAGAAGTTCTGTGGCTGGCGTTCTTTCTCCTTGTTTGATCTGCAAGGTGTTGGAGATGGAACTCTCAACCTCACTGGCACAAAGGAATAGAGCATAATATAAGTTCCATTTTTTTGTGTCACCCTATGAAACTAATATATGTACTCTAGATGTTCATGGAGGTGGGAATATTTTCCTATCTGGTTAGTGCTTTTACAGCATGCTGTAGCTATGTATCCAGTTATTTACTGCTCAGGTCATGTACATCATCACCATCCTTTCGTATGTAATTTCATCGTCTACTTGTAAACAGTTTTAGCTTCTTCTTTTTGCCTTTGGCTGTTGTATTTGTATATACAAGTTCATTTGGAATACAATTCCCTTTCTTCCCTGAATTTGATCTCTTACTTTGTGGTGGATTACTCTAACCCAAAGATGATTGGCAGAATTTTTGTTAATTTCTTGGTGCAGTTAGCGTGGTCACTTTAACAACTAAGGGGCCCTCTAAGTCACAAATGGAAAACAATGTGTGGTCGGAAGGGACTGATTACTCAACCAAAATGAGTAAGCATCTACTCAAGGTATGTATTAAACCTAAAGGGGTAATGGAGGATGTTTTGAAAATGCGGGCTTTGTTCAATGATATCAGTGTATTTAGCTGTTTGTGAGGTATTTCACATAATAACCGCCTTTTCTTTTGTGCTTGTAGTAAGGAAAACTACTACTAAATACCAACAATTTGCAAGCATAAGCATTTCACAATTTGGGGCTGAGTTGGCATTTCTGACCTGGCAGAGCTTGTGAAAGTCAGGCTTCCAGGCTTATATGGGTTCAGTCTTGCATAACTTTTTTTATGCCAATCCTTTGAACTCGGTTCCCCTGGTTGCTTTCTTCTGTTAAATTTTGAAGAAATCAATCTGAAAAAAAAAAGAGAAAATACTTGAGTATATCATAAACTGGACCAAAATCCTTGAACTGCCCCTGATTATTACTTTTTAAACCATGGTTAGGGCATATGGTCTTTGATACTTTGGAACTATCCGAAAATCATTAATTACTACCTACTAAAGATGGTTGGTCTTTGGAATGCTTATAAAACTACAATAGCTCCTCTTTATCTTTGTTCTACATTCATGACTCACACTCACACTATACTATCTTAGAGTGCCACCAGAGACCAACCTCTACTCTGTGCATATTTGAATTCTGAACACACACATCTTTCCCTGGAGGCCCTTTCAGGTTTCAACTGTTTTTTCTTTTTCTTTTAGAAATGCACTTTACTTTGTCCATTGCTAATGGAGCTTTAAGAGTCATTTTGACAATGTTTTAGCTTCTGGTAGATCATGGACTAAATTGAAATGCCATGTCGAACTTCTCTCGCTTCTTACTTCCAATGAACTTCTGGGATTATTCTATGCTTGTTGTTTTTGTTGTTTAAGTGTACTTTACATCATACTTTACCGCGTCATTGCGATCATTTTGATTTGACACTGCTTGCATTGTATTGTTTTTTCATGCCTTGCCTCCCTTTTGTCTATTTTAATTTCCAGAACATTCATGGGGGCTTTGCGGTGTGAAATTACTGACGAGATGTTCAGGAATTTCCACACTATTGATAGAAGAGTATACTCGATCCTAGTTTTTGAGCTTGGGCATGACCCCTTTGAATCTGTTCAAACAATAGCCTTGTGGATATGGCTGGAAAGAACCGGGTTCAACAACGTCGTGCAAAAGGTACTATCATTACCCAGAAACCTGATCAAAGAACTTGCCGTCGAAGCCATGGTTTGCCTCAAGTACATCAACGGAGATGCCACATTGCAATGCTGTGAGATCTCCCTGACTCAACAGACTGTCGGAGAACGGTTTTCCCCCAAATTTTTACTCGACAACAGGGTGGAGGCGTCCCGTGGGGTCCAGGAGGTGGTGGCTGAAGTTTGTGTGAAGGCATTGGAAGATCTGATGGTGGTGCCGCCTCCGCGAGAGGGGAGGACAATGTTTGCCACCTTTTCAAAGGGGTATCCAGTGTCCGAACAGGAAATCAGAGGGTTCTTTACTGAGGTGTTGGGAGACTGCATCGAGTCGGTCCACATGCAGGCGGTGAAGCCACCTCAGGCGCAGCAGCCTCTCTATGCCCGCATCATCTTCTTCAACCCTGCCGCCATTGACTTCATCCTCAACGGCGACCACAAGGCCAAGTTCACCATCAATGGTAAGCATGTTTGGATGCGCAAATTCGTCCCCCCTCCCAAAAAAACAAACTTCTAATTCCCAATGTGCCACCCACCCCCCTACCTCCCCACCCATTATCCCATGAAATGAACTAATGAAGTGACCAATCTGAGGTTTCTGTTTGTTGGAACAAATGTCAATGAATTGTATCCAACACTTGATGACTTGTAGATGAACTCTTACAAAAGTGATCAAAGGGTTTGGATGTGTTTGACCACATTTTGAGTAGATAGAAAGAATGGGGATTATAAGGTACTCTAATTTATATTCAACCAATACCCCCTCCGGAGTAATTATAACCTTTGTGATATATTAAAAATTGAATATATATATATATATATATATATATATATATATATATATATATACATTATGACTATTTGTTTAACTTTTGATTATCACGAAAATCACAAATTTTTATTAGTAAGTTCTCTTGAAATGTGCATTATTGAGTTGGATTGGAAGATGGGATCTAAGTGATTCGATTCATTTTCATTGAATAAGCTGACGTTATGTAACGGATGTTCATTAAACTTTTGCTTGTTCTTTTGTGTTTTACACTTTAACTGCATACTCCCGTATATGGAGTCAACTAAAGGCAAAGCTTACGTAATCTCAATGACAAATATTGTAGTACGACAATGCTCAGCTAACCTTGAACCAAATTCATTGAATGGAAAATGCTAGGGTGCCACCACATGGGTGCTACTATGGGTGCACTCATGCTTCGCACAGACAAATACAGACGATAATTGTCTGTGTCGCACAGACAATTATCGTCTGTGTTTTTCTGTGCGAAGTATGGGTGCACCCATGGTAGCACCCATGTGGTGGCACCCTAGCATGGTCCTTCATTTAATAGTGTGGGCATTTTTTTCAAGCAAAGAAGTTATTTCAAAAATTTCCCATCCATAGATACTATACTAGCTGATGGGTCAAAGAGTTACTAAAATGATATGCTTGGTGATAGAGTTCTAGAGTGAATTCAACCTCTTAATATACTACTCCGTATACAATAAATTGTGTAGATTTCTCCTAAACTATAAAAATTGTACCAATGGCACTTAAACATTTAAAACATTACACCAATGGTCTTTTTGTCCCAAATTTGATAGTGTGTTAGTCACGCGTTCATTAATATACATGTTGCAGGCTTTGAGCTTGATGAAGGTGTCATGTATTGATGAAGGGGTTAATCGATTAATGAAGAGTTTGATCGACTGATGTTTGGGCTTTGAGTTTGATTACCGATGACTAAAGTGATAATGTTTGAAAAAAACATATTGCAGAAGTTGTGTGTAATATATGACTTTAGATAAATTCATACTTGTACTGGATAAGCATGTGATTATCGCACTCCCAAATATGGTGAAGAGGGACTATTGATATAATATTTTTAAAAATTCAATGACCATTAGTATAATTTTTATAATTCAAGAAGAATCTACGTAATTTTCGAAGAGTTTGGGAGTAAATGACGCAAAAAAAAAACTCTAATATAATACGAAGTATGATTTAAATATGTTATACTCCGCTTTCGAATTGAGTTACATCTATTCTGTATTAAATTCTATCGTGATTCGTGACCATGGTAGACACAAGATGGGGTGATGGGACACAAAATTCATGTGACCACACTCCAACTTTTTATCAACTTCTCCATATCATATTTCCTCCCTCTTGAGATAATAGTTCAGACATCCCAAAAAGTCATCCTTCTATATTTTGAATAATTTTTATAATTCATATTTTTTTTCTTTTTATCTCTATTACTTTCAACCACAAGTTCACTCTTTATAAGTTTTGTGCCGAGTCAAATATGTATTGTTTTTTGGGACGAAGGAAATATGAGAGAATTTGCTAGATAAGACTGTAAGCCTAAAATATCCGTTTAATAAGACTACATTATCTTCTTTTCTTTGATCAGCCATGTATGGCCCATGGATAAATTTTCCTCGGTCAAAAGAAAATCTACAAAGCATTTCCGATGATTCACCTAGTCAAAGTGCTCCTTGGGTAGTCAAATGCTCGGCCCCGAATAGAACTAGTTTTTGAAAATCTAGAAGTTGATCCTGGTAAAAGATAAATCATTTTTACCCGGAATAGTGAAAAAAGTGTTTCTACTTTCTATACACTCTGAAATACTCCCTCTGTCCCCCTAAGATCTTCCCGTTTTGACTTTTTGCGGTTTTTTAGGAGAGTTGAAAAAAGGTAAAAGTTTACAATAATACCCTTAATGAAAATGAGTGAAGTGTATTAAATAAGGTAGGTGAGATGTAATAAATAAAGTAAGTGGGGGTAGTTGTGGTATTTTAAAATGTTAAAAAAGGTAATGAGAAGATCTATGGTGGACAAATAAAAAGGCTAATGAGAAGATCTATGGGGGACGGAGGGAGTAGATAAATTCATCACAATCTAATACTCCCTCTGTCCCGCGAAAAACTTTCCATTTTGACTTTTAAAGGGAAGGATTTTTTGGAACGAATGAAAAAAGAAAATGGAAGGGTTTTGTAGGACGAAGAGAATATGTTTCTAGTGCAAATAAATCATGGCAAAAATTGTACTACAAAAATTCAATATAATTAAGAATAAATTTTAAACACTAAGTTGATGCATAATGTTACATCTTACGTTGTTGAATCAAATGTTTTTAAGTATGTAATTATTATTTTGTAAGTTTACACCATTTTTCATAAAAAATTATTTGAAAAAACCTTTAGTCACACATCGTAAAACAAAACAGACGATATAAATTAGGGTGCGGAGAGTAATAAAACATAAGAATTCTTAATAGAGTAAATTCCATACAAGCTTTCCAATTATAGACCGTTTTACATATTTAGTCCCTATATATCAAATATTACTAATTTAGTCCCCAATTATTACTCCCTCCGTCCCGGAGTATTCGTCCAGTTTTGACTTTTGGAACTATTCATCTAAACACTTTGACTCATCAAATTCTCTCAATGTGTAAGCCTAAATATAGTCATGTGTGATCTTGTTTGATTTGTCTTAACATATAGATTATTACTATATAATTTCTATAATTTTTTATTGTACAAATTACAAGATAAAATGGATTAAAGAAATGTATTGGATGATGTATAAAAATGAAAGTGGACAAATACTCTGCGACGGAGGTAGTATATCATTTTTCACGAATGGTCCTTTGTTAACGTTTTTGTTAAGAACATGTATAAATTGTATATTCATACTTCTCTCTCTCTCTCCTCAATTAAGCTTCCTCCCTCATCTCGTACTCTTTCTCAAACTCGTCGCTGAATTTGAACCTCTAAATCTAAAACTGAAATGATCACTCCTCTCTCAATTATTAGTCTTCCCGGTAGAATCTAAAATCAAAACCAATAAGCTTTATGGATGAGTTTTATCGGTTAGTCTCAAGAAATTGCAAAAAAAATAAACATTAAAACTAATTCATGAAGGTTATCGGTTTCGAATTTGGGTTCCACCAATTCGACAAACAATTGAAGGAAGAGTGGTGAATTCGGTTTTGGGTTCAAAGCTTCAAACTCAGCGACGGGTTTGGGAAAGGAGTGCGAGCGGAGAGAGGAAGGTTAATTGTGGAGAGAAAGGGATGTGAATTTACAATTTTATCCCCGTTCTTAACGAAAATGTTAACAAGGACCATCCGTGGAAATGAATATAATAATTTGGGACTAAATTAGTAATATTTGATATTTAGAGACTAAATATGTAAAACGACCTATAACTGAGAACCTTTTATGGAATTTACTTTCTTAATATTACATGAGCAGGATTTGTTGACCCTTGACTTTGACGCGTCAATAATGGAGAGAGGAAGAAGATGAACAAATTCTTCCGGACGGTGGAGTATTAAAATTGACTTTTATTAAATCTCTTATCTCTAATGGACTCTAGAACATTTTGTTTGCTCTTAATACCGTCAAATTTGGTTTCTCTTCCCTTCCACTCTAAATTATTTGTTATTGTTTATAATGTTTGATCTAAACTAATTTCAAATTAGGTCCCGTTTGGTACATGGAATTCAAACTATGAAATTGGAATGAGAGACTTCAATTCCAATTTTAATGTTTGGTAGCACAAAAATTATGTGGATTTGGAATTGATATTGCAAAAAATGAATTGAAATTGACAGAATTCAATTCTATGGAATTGAATTCCATGGAATTTCAATTCCAATTCAATTCTAATTCCACCAATTTTTTATACCAAACGGACCCGTAATCTATTTGAAAATATAGACTATATTTAGAAACAAACCTTATGTATTTTAAAATTACGTTAAATTCAATTCAAACCTTATGTATTTTATATATTTGTATAATAAAGGAAATTAAAATCGGAAAAATTCAAGATTGGGGAAAACAAAGAGCATAAATGTCATTTTTGCTTTAAAAATAGGTAAGAGGGGCATGTGTGCTCTATTTAAAAACCACAGGGACTTTACAAATAACTTTTGAAAACAGAGGGAGTTTTGACGCCCTTTTTGTAAACCATAGAGGGTGCCCATGCTATTAACCCCAACATAACATAGATGAGTCATGTCAGAAACTCACTAATCTTACCATCGAAAACTTGAGACGAAATGGTTCACATTTTTATAAAGACAAAAATGGTTTGCGACACCGACAATAAAGATCTATTTGGTACATAGAACTGACAGAATTAGAATTGAATTGAGAATTAAATTTTAAGAAATTCATTTAGATGGAATTGAATATTTCATTTCCAATTTTTTTTGGCATTACCAATTCAAAATTCACATATTTTTGTACTACCAAACAGCGAAATTGGAATTGTTAACCCTAATTCAAATTCCATAATTTGAATTCCTTATACGAAATAGAACCTAATTATTAATTGATGTGTGTGAAACACTTAACCTGGTGAGTTTCTGGCTTTTTTAAACACACAATACCTTCATTAGAGATGTTAGTGTAAGAATGTCAAAAACAAAAATAACATTGTAAAAGAATAACTCTTTTCACTTCACTGGCAATGAATAAACATCTGTGGTTCATGCATGCCAAATATATATAAGAGGGAAACAATTTGATGCTCTATACAAACAACAAACCTTTTTATTCAGCTCCATGGATTAGAAGAGTGCCCCTAATTGACATTGAAAACACATCTATGGAACAAACTCAACCACAACATCAATGAAGATTCAATGAATTACATCTATGTAACACCCCCCCCCCCCCCAACCCCCCACCCCACCCCAAAAAAGAAAACTATATATATTACAAGTTAAATAGAACTTGCGTTCCACGGCCACCCATGGGAAGTCCCTCCCGGCGATGTTTTTTTTCCTCGGTTCATAAAACAACCCGAGCAAACTCGGGCTCATTCGTTCTCTAATCCTTTTGGAAGAAAGAAAGCACAAAATCGGTATGTACCGAGAAGAGCTGTGTGTCCACGAATAGCTGTTTCACAATGAGACAAAAAAAAGAATCAATTCCATATTTTGGATCCAAAGTCCAAACCAAACCAATTTCCATTTTGAACTCTCTCGGTTTATCACATATCACCCATAGACAAAACTATTGAAAACGCACCTTCATAAAAGGTCGATCTCGATAGGGAAAAGATTCGATGAAACTTTCCTTCAATAACAAAGATACCTGATACAAACAAAAAGAAACAGTTTTAAAAAGTGAATGTATATATACATATACCAGTTATACAATATTCTCTTAATATAGAAAACGGGTAGAAGAACGAGGGAACTGCGCAAACCTTGTCATTATTTGACTGAACATTGGTAATTGTGTGACACCGAAGATTAGAGCAGAGAGAATCCAAGTAAGAGCGCAAGATTCTTAGGAAGCCCCTTGCAGCTTCAACCTAATAGAAGCAGCAGTTAATGACATCATATTTGGGCATGAGAATTTCGTAAAACTGGCGAAAAAGATTGGTATGAGAGAGAATACCTGCACATCTGTACACTCATAAACCGGTCTTTTCCTTCCCAAATAACTCTCTCCCACAAGTTTGGCATGGTATGGACTTAGGTATGAGTATAGTTCCTTGTGTTGGGGTAGTTGTGGTATCGAATGCGACTTCACCTAATATTCAGTCCAAAGTTTTATTTTTGTTGACATAAAGTTACCAATAGATAAGGAGTATATNCATCATATTTGGGCATGAGAATTTCGTAAAACTGGCGAAAAAGATTGGTATGAGAGAGAATACCTGCACATCTGTACACTCATA